CTGGTCCTGAGTCTGCCCCCTGCTCGTGTCGCCTCCTGTCTCACGAGACTCTCCTCTGGCACCACCGCCTTGGTCACCCCTCCCTGCTTTGTCTCCGAGGCATGGCCTCCCGTGTCCTTGTCTCTGGTCTTCCCCGGTCCCTCCCTCCCCTTCCTCCAGGGCCTGGCCCTACCTGCGTCCCCTGTGTCGAGGGGCGGCAGCGGGCTGCCCCTCACTCCTCCCAGTTTCCTCCGACAGAGGCTCTGCTGCAGACGCTTCACATGGACGTGTGGGGCCCGGCCCGCGTCCGTGGACAGGGTCACGAGCGCTACTTCCTGCTGGTGGTTGACGACTACTCGCGTTACACCACAGTCTTCCCCTGGCGCAGCAAGGGTGATGTCACAGAGGTGTTGATCGACTGGATCCGCGCAGCTCGTCTCCAGCTCAGGCGGAGCTTCGGCTCGGACTTTCCTGTTCTGCGTCTGCACTCTGACAGAGGCGGAGAGTTTTCCTCTGGCCTTCTGAGAGCCTACTGTCACGCACGAGGCATCCGTCAGACCTTCACGCTTCCGGACTCCCCGCAGCAAAATGGGATTGCTGAGCGCCGCATTGGCATGGTCATGGACGTCGCCCGTACGTCCATGATGCATGCGGCTGACCCCCATTTCCTGTGGCCGTTTGCGGTCCGGTACGCGGTGCATCAGATCAACCTTCAGCCCAAGGTCTCCATGCCAAAGACCTCCCCTGCTTTGCTGTGGACGGGGAAGGTTGGCGATGCGTCTACGTTCCGTGTCTGGGGATCTCGGCGTTTGTCCGCGACTTGTCTGCAGACAAGTTGTCCCCTCGTACTGCTCCTTGCGTCTTCCTGGGTTTCCCCCCTGACGCGCCAGGGTGGCAGTTCTACCACCCCACCTCTTGCCGTGTTCTGTCCTCCCAGGACGTCACGTTCGACGAGTCGGTCCCCTACTACCGTCTCTTCCCCTACCGCACTCCGTCCCTCCCCCAGCCACCACTCTTCCTTGTGCCAGGTCCCCCCACGGTAGACCCCCTCCCCCCTCAGGGTCCTGCCCCGGTAGACGCTCTTGAGCCTGTCGAGGTCGCTGGTGACTCTGGTGCTGCTGAGGGTGCTGAGCCTAGGGGTGCTGACTCTGGGGGTGCTAGGCGTGTGGGTGCTACGCCTGGAGGTGCTGAGCCTGGGGGTGCGGAGCCTGAGGTAGCTGGGCCTGCTCGTGTGGCGACTGGCGGTGCTGTGCCTGGCAGTACTTCGGGTGCTTCGTCTTGCTGGGAGCCAATCTCTCCACAGGAGCTGCGTGAGTGGTTTGCCCGGCGCTGGAGGCGAGCTGCTGGAGCTGGAGGTGCTGCGGGTACTGGAGGTTCTACTGCTGCTGAGGGTCCTGGTGCCGCGGGTCCCGGAGGTGCTCGTACTGGGAATCCTGGAGCTGCTGGGCGTGCGGGTACTTCTGGAGCTGGAGCTGCTGCGGGAGTTGGCGCAGAGGCTACTGCTGTCGGTCCTGGAGGCGGTCCTGCTGGGGGTGCTCCTGGTGCTGCTGGAGGTACTGGAGCTGGAGGTGTTGCTGGTGCTGGTGCTGCCGCTGGGGGTGCTGAGCCTGGGGGTGTTGTGCCTGGGGGTGCTACGCCTGGGGGTGCTTTGCCTGGGAGTGCTACACCTGGGGGTGCTGAGCCTGGGGGTACTGTGCTTGGAGGTGCTACGCCTGGAGGTTCTCCGGGTGCTTTGTCTCTGCGGGAGCCACTCTCTCCACAGGAGCTGCGCGAGTGGTTTGCCCGGCGCTGGAGCCGTGCTGCTGGAGCTGGAGGTTCTTCGGCTACTGAGGGTGCTGCTGTCGCGGGTCCCGGAGGTGCTCGTAGTGTTAGTACTGGAGCTGCTGGGCCTGCGGGTTCGACTGGAGCTGGTGCTGCTGAGGGTGTTGGCGTTGAGACTACTGCTAACGGTCCTGCTGGGGGTACTCCTGGTGTTGCTGGAGGTTCTGGAGCTGCTGGAGGTGCTGCTGGAGCGGGCGCTCCTGCTGGGGGTACTGGTGCTGTCCCTGCTGTGTCTGGCGTTGCCGCGCAGCCCCGACATTACTTCGTTCCACTCCTGCAGCAGGTTCTTGGTCTTTCGCCTTCTACTGGTCCTCCTCCTCCTCCCTTAGAGTGTCCACAGCCTGTCCCGTCGCAGTTACAGTTATTGCCAGCCTCCCCACTTCCTGCTCCTTCTCCCTACACTGGTCCTACTGGAGGTCTTCCTGAGCGTCGTAAGCCTGCGTCTCGCCCTGCGTCGCCTGTCCGTGCTGCTTGCACTAGTGGTCGTGGTTCGCATCAGCGTCCTCCTCCTGTCCCTGGCACGCACAGGATGTCTTTGGGTCCCTCCACTGCTCCTCTGCGTGCCCCTTTGCCTTCTCCTCCTGAGTCCTCTCTGCCTTCTCTTGCCGACCCGGAGTCGGAATCTCTTCGTGCTGCCAGTCCTACTGTCACGCGTCTCCTTGCTACTGTCGTCACTGACCCTTCCTTTGAGTCCACTGCTGCGTCTGCCCTAGTTGCTGAGCTCGTAGACTTTGCTGCTCGCTGTCGCCTAGACTACGCTGCTAGTCTTGTCGCTGAGTCTGAGTCTGTCTGTCCTCCATCCGTTGGGGGTGAGTGTGCCCTTGGCACGGACGTCCTTGAGGACAGGCAGGAGAAGTTCCAGTGTCTGGCTGCTGCTTCACCTCATCTCGTGTCCGTACTGCTTACCCCTGAGTGAGACCCGGATGCACTTGACATCCCGACTCCGCGCTCTTACGCGGAGGCGATAGAGGGTCCCTACTCCTCTCAGTGGCAGGCAACTATGGACGCAGAGATGGCTTCCTGGAAGTCCACAGGCACCTACGTTGACGAGGTTCCCCCGCCTGGGGCGAACATCGTCAGTGGCATGTGCATCTTCAGGGTGAAGCGGCCGCCGGGTTCTCCGCCTGTCTTCAAGGCATGGTACGTGGCTCGTGGCTTCAGTCAGCGGAAGGGAGTTGACTACTTTCAGACCTTCTCTCCCACCCCGAAGATGACCACTCTTCGGGTACTGCTGCACGTTGCTGCTCACCGTGACTACGAGCTACACTCTCTTGACTTCAGCACTTCTTTCTTGCAGGGCAGCCTGCACGAGGAGATCTGGCTGTGCCGCCCACCTGGCTTCACTGGGTCGTTCCCTCGTGGTACCCAGTGGAGTCTCCGGGGTCCAGTCTACGGTCTCCGCCAGGCGCCACGTGAGTGGCACAACACACTGAGGACTACGCTTGCGGCTCTTGGGTTTGCTCCTTCTACTGCCGACCCATCGCTGTTTCTACGCACCGACATCTCTCTGCCGCTGTTCTACATCCTCGTGTACGTCGACGACTTGGTATTTGCCACAGCTGAGACTGCTCGACTCGCCTACGTGAAGTCCGAGCTGCAGAAGAGACACACGTGCACAGACCTGGGTGAACTGCGCAACTACCTTGGCTTGCAGATCACCCGGGACAGAGCACGCCGCACCATTACCCTGACTCAGTCACATATGGTGCAGCAGGTCCTTCAGCGCTTCGGCTTCACGTACTCCTCGCCTCAGGCCACTCCTCTGCCTACTCGCCAGTCGCTCTCAGCTCTGCCTTCGGATGAGTCCGTAGAGTCGAGTGGCCCGTATCCAGAGCTTGTTGGCTGCCTCATGTACCTGATGACCTGCACACGACCTGACCTTGCATACCCTCTTAGCATTCTTGCACGTTATGTTGCTCCTTGGAGACACCGACCAGAGCACATGGCTGCAGCGAAGAGGGTGTTGCGCTACTTGTGCAGTACGTCGGGCATGGGGCTAGTGCTTGGAGGGCGCAGTCCAGTGGTCCTCACTGGGCACGCAGACGTTTCTTGGGCTGACGACCAGGCTACGCAGCGGTCGTCACAGGGTTACACCTTCGGCCTTGGTCCCGGCTCTGTCTCGTGGCGGGCTACTCGCTCGTCTTCTGTTCTCGGCTCCAGTTGTGAGGCTGAGATCTACGCTGGGGCTATGGCAGCACAGGAGCCTCGCTGGCTCACCTACCTGCTGACTGACCTCGGAGAGCTGCCTCGTTCTCCTCTAGTTCTGTACGTAGACAACAAGGCCATGATGGCCTTGTGTCGAGAGCAGCGACTGGAGCATAGAACAAAGCACATTGCTCTCCGCTACTTCCTTGCTTGTGAGCTACAGCAGCGTGGACAGTTGCGGCTTGCGTACGTGGCCTCTGAGGCCAACACTGCTGATGTCTTCCCCAAGGCACTTGCGCCTTGTGATCATCAGCGCTTCTGCACTCAGCTGGGTCTTGTCCCTGTCTTGCCTCACTTGCTCACCTCTTGACCTTTCTTGTACTGTTACATATATTTATACCTGCTCTCGCTTGTCTAGCCTTATATATATATGTAATCCTGCATGTGAACTGGCCTTGTGGCTTTGAACTTGTGCTCGGAATGTGTGGTGATTTTGTGATCCACCATGAGCTTGCTTTGCTTTGCTTTGCTTGACTGGTCTTGTGACCCCCTGTTCTCCCCCATTTTGCCTATGGGGGTGTGTCAGAACATTATAGCTTATGCTGTTGTGTAGGCTGTAGTGGGGTATCCCATAGGGGGTACAACCCAATTAGGGTTAGTACTTGTACCCACGTCTTCCATAGTTCATCCATTCTCGTTTCATTTTTCTCAGTCAACGGCCGCCGTCACTGTTGGTTGGTGATGCAAGAAATAAATCAGGCTCGGAGTGGCCCATTGGTTTCATTTGCAGCTCGCCGTGGCCTCGCCAGTTGCAGAAGCATGCTTCACCCAGCAAACGGCCGGACATGGACACACACTCTGGGTTGAGTGCCTCCGCTCCGCCTCAAACATAACCCTCGTTTTGACCCAGTGGGTAGCGAGGTGTTACATCAGAGGCGGTGCGTGGTGGCGAGGTGGGATGTCGTGGCCCGTGGGATACCATTGAGGGCTCGTCAGGTCGCATAGAAACTACCGAACTCGCAGAAGTAACCACGAAGCCGTTTCTTTTAGCGAGGATGGGGCGAACCGGTTTTGTTACTGCAACTACCCTCCAACAAGCGCATGCGCGTCGAACGAGCAGTCAGCGGAAGTATTTCAATGGGACGGAGCAGCAAACTCGCCGGTTAGCGTTCCTCTTTCCGACGCTGCTATTTGCGCCTCTTGCTCCGCTACTAGGTGCGGCAAAGTACATGCTCCCCAAACGCATCGACACAGTAGATCTACATTGCCAGATTCCTAGGTCCCAGAAGCTTCCCGAAAGTATCCCGCGAGAGACATTCGGGACATTTTGCAACCCCATCCCGAAAGTGTCCTTTGGGAAGTCTGTGGTGACGTTTCAAAGAGTCTTGAAACCATCCCGCAGGACTCTTTTGAACTGGCTCGAAAGTCTTTTTCGGGACTGACGTGGACATTTCCAGGACATTAGGAGGACACATTTGGGACGAGTCACGAGCCAATCACCTTTGAGCGCGGTTCGGATATATGCGGTTCGGAATTCGTGGGTATGGACATGCGGTCCAACATTTCGATTTGATATACACGCCCTCAGTACAACATTAAAACTACATAATATATATTGTTTACAAAATATCTTCAACAGAATTACACTGGTGAACATTTTGTCGAACTTATATACTATAGTCTGTTTAGGCTGTAGTGGGGTAGACAATATGGGGTCCAACACTTTAGGGTTTCCTACTTGTACTCCTCATGCTGCTCAATGCAATCATTCCTTCCTCAGATTCTCACATGGTATAGAGCAGGTTCCCTAGTGGGAACGCTTCCTAAGGGCCCACCTCTAAAAAAAAATTCTGCCCGGAGCGCGCTCCTCTCCTGCCCGAGTCGCGCCCCGTGTGCCCTCCCTCCCGTCGCGTCCTAGCCCTTGGCGGCCCGTCGCGCCCTCCTCAGGCCCCTAGCGGCCCCTTTCGCGGCCCCTCGCGGCCCCTCTCACGGCCCTGTCGCCGCCCTGCCGGCCCCATTGCCGACCCTAGCGGCCCCGTAGCCGACCCTAGCGGCCCCGTCGCCACCCTGACGGCCCCGTTGCCGACCCTAGCGGCCCCGTAGCCGCTCTAAGCGGCCCCGTCGCCGCCCTATCGGCCCTGTCGCCGACCCTTGCGGCCCCGTTGCCGCCCTAAGCGGCCCCGTCGCCGCCTTATCGGCCCCGTCGCCGACCCTTGCGGCCCCGTCGCGGCCCTACGCGGACCCGTCACCGCCCTATCGGCCCCGTCGCCGACCCTTGCGGCCCCGTCGCCCCGTCGCCGCCCTAAGCGGCCCCGTCGCTGCCCTATCGGCCCCTTCGCTGCCCTATCGGCCCCGTCGCCGACCCCTGCGGCCCCGTCGCCGCCCTAAGCGGCCCCGTTGCCGACCCTACCGGCCCCGTCGCTGCCCTACCGGCCCCGTCGCCGCCCTAAGCGGCCCCGTTGCCGGCCCTACCGGCCCCGTCGCCGCTCTACCGGCCCTGTCGCCGCCCTAAGTGGCCCCGTCGCCGACCCTACCGGCCTTGTCGCCGCCCTCAGCGGCCCCGTTGCCGCCCTGCCGGCCCCGTCGCCGACCCTAGCGGCCCGGTAGCCGCCCTCAGCGGCCCCGTCGCCGCCCCTTCACGGCCCCGTCGCCGTCTCTACCGGCCCCTTCAACGTCGCTAGCAGCCCAGCAGCCGAGGCGCCCGCCAACCGAGCCGCCGAGCCGCCCAGCAGCCGAGCCGCCAAGCCGCCCAGCAGCCAAGCCGCCGAGCCGGCCAGCCGCCAAGCAGCCCAGCAGGGGAGCCGCTGAGCTGCCCAGCAGCTGAGCCGCCGATCCGCCCAGCAGCCGAGCCGCCGAGCCACCGAGCCGCCCAGCAGCCGAGCCGCCGAGCCGCCCTTCCTTCTGGCACGCCCCGGCCCTACTTCCTTGGACTGGTGAGCTCACTCCCTGATAGACCGCTGCAGTCATTGCTACCCCCCAGTGTCCTTACCTTTGATACTGAGGGTCGTGCTGTTGACTTTGAGGTCTGGGTCGATGACCTCCAGCTGTTCTTACAGTGCGATAGGGCGGATGGACTCTCACTGTTCGATCTCTCCTCTGGTGTCTCTCCTGCCCCGCCTGCTACTTCTGACAGCACTGTTTGCTCACAGTGGGCCACGCGCGATGCTGCTGCACGTCTTGCTGTGCGTCGCCACTTATCGACCACTGAGCGTGCGCACTTTAGCCAGTACAAGAGTGCTAAGACCTTGTACGACGCTGTAGTTGCACGCTACTCCTCCCCTGCCACTGCTGCGCTTAGCCGCCTCATACTGCCGTACCTGTTCCCTGACCTTGGTGCCTTTCCCACAGTCGCTGACCTCATTACGCACCTTCGCACTAGTGACACTCGCTACTGCGCTGCGCTTCCCGCTGAGTTCTGTGCCAAGAACCCCCCCCCCATGTACATCTCCCTCTACTACATAGTCACCCGGCTCCCTGACTCCCTTCGCTTAGTCAGGGACCACTTCCTCTCAATTTGCCCCACCACACTCACCGTTGACCTCCTCGAGGAGCGCCTCCTAGCAGCAGAGAAGAGCATAGTCGCTGTAGGAGCCTCTCGTGGTGACCCTCGCACCCCCGTCTTTGAGGGGTGTTCTCCCTCCCCACTCTTGCCCTCTGTTGCTTCTGCTGCTGCGGCCGACCTCGTTGGTTTCGAGTCGGTCGGTGCTGCGTTTGTCCCTAGCGGGGGAAGCGCCGCACCGGCAAGGGCAAGGGGGGCAAGGGTGCTGGGGGGGCTAGTGGGGGCGGTGGAGGTGGTGGTGGAGGCAGTGGAGGGGGTTGGGGGTGGTGGTGGGAGTGGTGGCGGGGCTGGAGGTGTCGGTGGCAGCACTGGAGGCGGAGGAGACGGCGGGGGTGGCGGAGGGAGCGGAGGCGGTGGCGGTGGCGGAGGCGGCGGAGGTGGCGGAGGCGGTGGAGGTGGCGGTGGAGCTGGTCGCAGCTCTGCGCAAAGGAGTGGCTCTGGTGGTGGTCCGTGCCAGCAGCAGCAGCGCGGTCGTGAGACCCTGTCCTCTCAGCAGCTTCGTGAGTGGTACGCTGGGCGTGAGCGGGGTGGGGGTATTGGTCCCTGCAACTACGTCCTCCGTACAGGCGACCGCGCTGGTGAGCAGTGCGGGGGTACGCACTCCACCCAGCGTTGCTTCGGCCGCTTGACAGATGCTTGGCGTCATCAGTTCCCTAACGCCACTGAGATCCCTCGCTAGGGAGAGTTGTCTAGGGCTGGGGTAGCTATCTTTGATCTTGACTATGATGCTATTCTTGCTGCCATGTATGCTGTGTCTACTAGTGATGAGGGTGTCTGTTACATGTGTGTTCCGTTAACAGGAATGGAGTGCTGGCCCCGCCCTCGCTTGGGCAACGCCGACGACTTGGTCGGATGTATGGGAGCAGCAGCCGACTATTCATAGAGGGAGAGCTGCTCGACAGGCTTCGTCGAGCTGCAGGGGACCGTTGTGGTGTTGTTGTTGACCAGGGAGCTCGACAGCTGCAACTGACTGGTCTGGGCAAAGGGTGGGACGTCGACCAGGACCTGCGGTTTGACGGGGAGGTCTCCGGAGCATCTCGTCGACCTGCACTTCGACCGAGAGGTCTCCGAAGCCTCCCGTCGACCTGCAGCTCGACCGGGAGGTCTCTGGAGCATCCCGTCGACCTGCTCAATGCAATCATTCCTTCCTCAGATTCTCACATGGTATAGAGTAGGTACCCTAGTGGGAACGCTTCCTAAGGGCCCACCACTAAAAAAATTCTGCCCGGAGCGCGCTCCTCTCCTGCCCGAGTCGCGCCCCGTGTGCCCTCCCTCCCGTCGCGTCCTAGCCCTTGGCGGCCCGTCGCGCCCTCCTTAGGCCCCTAGCGGCCCCTTTCGCGGCCCCTCGCGGCCCCTCTCACGGCCCTGTCGCCGCCCTGCCGGCCCCATTGCCGACCCTAGCGGCCCCGTAGCCGACCCTAGCGGCCCCGTCGCCGCCCTGACGGCCCCGTTGCCGACCCTAGCGGCCCCGTAGCCGCTCTAAGCGGCCCCGTCGCCGCCCTATCGGCCCCGTCGCCGACCCTTGCGGCCCCGTTGCCGCCCTAAGCGGCCCCGTCGCCGCCTTATCGGCCCCGTCGCCGACCCTTGCGGCCCCGTCGTTGCCCTACGCGGACCCGTCACCGCCCTATCGGCCCCGTCGCCGACCCTTGCGGCCCCGTCGCCGCCCTAAGCGGCCCCGTCGCCGCCCTAAGCGGCCCCGTCGCTGCCCTATTGGCCCCGTCGCCAACCCCTACGGCCCCGTCGCCGCCCTAAGTGGCCCCGTTGCCGACCCTACCGGCCCTGTCGCCGCCCTACCGGCCCCGTCGCCGCCCTAAGCGGCCCCGTTGCCGACCCTACCGGCCTCGTTGCCGCTCTACCTGCCCTGTCGCCGCCCTAAGCGGCCCCGTCGCCGACCCTACCGGCCCTGTCGCCACCATCAGCGGCCGCGTCACCGCCCTGCCGGCCCCGTCGCCGACCCTAGCGGCCCGGTAGCCGCCCTCAGCGGCCCCGTCGCCGCCCCTTCACGGCCCCGTCGCCGTCTCTACCGGCCCCTTCAACGTCGCCAGCAACCCAGCAGCCGAGGCGCCCGCCAACCGAGCCGCCGAGCCGCCCAGCAGCCGAGCCGCCAAGCCGCCCACCAGCCGAGCCGCCGCGCCGCCCAGTCGCCCAGCCGCCCAGCAGGGGAGCCGCCGAGCCGCCCAGCAGCTGAGCCGCCGATCCGCCCAGCAGCCGAGCCGCCGAGCCACCGAGCCGCCGAGCCGCCCTTCCTTCCGGCGCGCCCCGGCCCTACTTCCTTGGATTGGTGAGCTCACTCCCTGATAGACCGCTGCAGTCATTGCTACCCCCCAGTGTCCTTACCTTTGATACTGAGGGTCGTGCTGTTGACTTTGAGGTCTGGGTCGATGACCTCCAGCTGTTCTTACAGTGCGATAGGGCGGATGGACTCTCACTGTTCGATCTCTCCTCTGGTGTCTCTCCTGCCCCGCCTGCTACTTCTGACAGCACTGTTTGCTCACAGTGGGCCACGCGCGATGCTGCTGCACGTCTTGCTGTGCGTCGCCACTTATCGACCACTGAGCATGCGCACTTTAGCCAGTACAAGAGTGCTAAGACCTTGTACGACGCTGTAGCTGCACGCTACTCCTCCCCTGCCACTGCTGCGCTTAGCCGCCTCATACTGCCGTACCTGTTCCCTGACCTTGGTGCCTTTCCCACAGTCGCTGACCTCATTACGCACCTTCGCACTAGTGACACTCGCTACTGCGCTGCGCTTCCCGCTGAGTTCTGTGCCAAGAACCCCCCCCCCATGTACATCTCCCTCTACTACATAGTCACCCGGCTCCCTGACTCCCTTCGCTTAGTCAGGGACCACTTCCTCTCAATTTGCCCCACCACACTCACCGTTGACCTCCTCGAGGAGCGCCTCCTAGCAGCAGAGAAGAGCATAGTCGCTGTAGGAGCCTCTCGTGGTGACCCTCGCACCCCCGTCTTTGAGGGGTGTTCTCCCTCCCCACCCGTACAGGCGACCGCGCTGGTGAGCAGTGCGGGGGCACGCACTCCACCCAGCGGTGCTTCGGCCGCCTGATGGACGCTTGACGTCATCAGTTCCCTAACGCCACTGAGATCCCTCGCTAGGGAGAGTTGTCTAGGGCTGGGGTAGCTATCTTTGATCTTGACTATGATGCTATTCTTGCTGCCATGTATGCTGTGTCTACTAGTGATGAGGGTGAGTGCTACATGTGTGTTCTGTTAACAAGAATGGAGTGTTGGCCCCGCCCTCGCTTGGGCAACGCCGGCGACTTGGTCGGATGTATGGGAGTAGCAGCCGACTGTTCATAGTGGGAGAGCTGCTCGACAGGCTTCGTCGAGCTCCAGGGGACCGTTGTGGTGTTGTTGTCGACCAGGGAGCTCGACAGCTGCAACTGACTGGTCTGGGCGACGGGTGGGACGTCGACCAGGACCTGCGGTTCGACGGGGAGGTCTCTGGAGTATCTCGTCGACCTGCACTTCGACCTAGAGGTCTCCAAAGCCTCCCGTCGACCTGCAGCTCGACAGGGAGGTCTCTGGAGCATCCCGTCGACCTGCGATTCGACCGAGAGGTCGACAGAGCAGTTCTGGTCGACGAAAGGGGTCCGTCGACCAGGGGGTAGCTTGACAGGAGTTGTGGTCGACCAGGAGCGCCTGTTGGTCGATTAGAGGGACCCAGTGGTCGACCGGAGGCACCTGGGGGTGGACCAGAGCACCAGGGGTCGACCAGGTCGACCGGGTAACCTGCTCGACGAGTTCTGCGGAGGATCGCGAACGTCGTCGAGATCGCGATGGCGCAGGTGACTTCGGGCTCGTATCCCGAAGTCGATGTGGCTCGTCAGGTGCAGACAACGGCCGACGGATGCCCAACGAGGCAAGTCGGGCCAATCGTCTGCGCACACCTGCGAGCGCGCGCACAGCTGTGTTCTACGGGGCACGCCGTTGACCTGCTTTGTTGGCATGTCGCCCTTCTGCAGTGCTGGCGCGGCTCCTCTACGCAATGCTGGCAGGCGGTCGACCGAGCTGTGCTGGTGGTCGACCAGGCTAGCTGCAGGGTTGCTAGGTGCCTGATGTAGTCATTGTTGTCATTGCTTCTTGAATTATTCTGTATTCTCAACTTTGCTAGTGGAAACTCTTGTCAATCTCTCTCGTGAATGTGCAAGCACAAAGGAACCAAGCAAAGCTACAATCATCTCTAGTAGTTCGTGCCAGCCCTGTAGTCTAGCTCACTACCGTTGTAGAGTGGATCTCCGCATGGTGCGGTGAGCGTGGATCGAACACGCGACCTTCAGATAGGAGCCGACTTTTGCACCTACTAAGTCGTTAGTAGGCCGGCAGCAGCGATAGTCGCCATGGTCGACCCCGTAGTTGATGCGGGTGTAGCGGACACCTTGGAAGCACGTTTGGCTGACGCGAGGAGACGCCACGTGGATGGCTAGTACGGGAGGATCCCCTTGGTGATCGCCGAGTTGGGCATCCGGGCGCAGTGGGCGATGGAACACCCTTCCCGTCCTACTTTTCCTCGACCGGTGCGCAACGAAGGTGGCGTCGACGACGAGGTCGACGCTGGTGCACGAGTTAGCGGCAGCGAAGGCACGAGGCAGAGAGGAGTGATCAAGGTCGACAGTGGTGTTGACGGAATCCAGGCGGGAGTGCAGCGGTCGACGGCTGCTGCAAGGAGCTCGCGTGCCGACGTCGATGTTCGACGCCGTTCTCCTCCACGAAGTGGTGGACGGCTCTCGGTGACGACACACGTGACGGCGGGCGGGATTGCACCGGCGTATGGCTACTTCAAGTTCTCGCCGGACCGGATCGCCGTCGCACCGATGCAAGGTCGACGGGACCTCATCACCTGGAGGGACTCAATTGAACCTCAGCTAGAGGTCGCCGGGCTGAAGGGCTTCGCCGATGGCACCGCGTCATTTCCGCCCGAGGAGAATGTCGAGCTACGCATGGAGTTTTGTTCTGCTCACCTGCTCACCTTCATGGTCATCTCGAGGTGCCGCTCGCCAGTGGTGCAGCTAGCGCTCAGGAGCTGTCGAGAGCGACTGGATGCTGGTCACCAGGCATGGCACTTCATCATGTCGACGTACCAGGCCAGGGACGACCTGTACATCGGACTGCTAGAGGAGAAGATAACTCACATTCGAATGGGCGAGAAGGAGTCGGCGACGGACTACTGCAACCGAGCTCGACGGATCCTAGCTGAGATGAGGATGGCGGGCGCCGAATACTCCACGGCGTCCTACATCACCCACGTCCTCAAGGGCCTGCCGCGTAGCTACAACCTCATGAAGAGGTTTACGATGGTGCCCGGCACACGTGAGTCCCTCAACAAGGACTCCTTTACCACCTACATCCTCAAGGATGAGGCGATGCAGGAGACAGAGCAGCCCACGGAGTTCCTTCCGCAAGCGAGTTACGCTGCACCTACGAAGCCGAAGTGTCAGCAGGAGCAGCGCGGGAAGCCAGGCAGGGGTGGTAGCGGAGGTGGGCGGTCGACGAAGGACGTCGACGAGAAGAGGTCGACGCGGGACAAGGGTCGACGAGGTGGTGGTTGACGGCGGGAGTGCTGGGTCTGCGGTGACCCCGACCATCTCTCCTTCGAGTGCTCCGACCGCGATGACAGCGACGAGGACGACAACAAGGGAGGTCGCGGTCGATCGGCCAGTCGTCGCCCCCGTCGAGTTGAGAAGCCGCGCAAGGAGAAGCAAGCGTCGAAGAAGACGTCGTCGACGAAGGACGTCGACAGCTCCAGCGGCAAGAGCCGAGGCGACGCGGAGGCGTCGTGCTCGATGGTCGGCGTGGTGGAACCGACAGTCTCGCTAGCACCGGAGGCTAGCGAGGACTTCCAGGCAGTGGCGGCAGCTGTGCAGGCCAACTCGATGGCGGTGCTGCTCGACAGCGGGTGCTCCCACTTCCTGATGGGGACGAAGTCGGTCTTCGTCGACATGGAGCTGAGCGACGGGGGTAAGCACGTGCGTGGTTTCAACGGGGCATTGCAGCCTGTCGAGGGTCGCGGAACCGTCGCTCTGCAAGGGGAGGCCGAGAAGCGGGTCCTCATCCCCGACGTACTCTACGTTCCGGGCGTATAGGCAAACCTGCTGTCTGCTGGCCAGCTGAAGGAGAGCGGAGTGCTGTTGCAGGGCGATGGCGATGAGATGCTGCTCGTCGCCGCGACCGGGGAGGTGCTCGGTCGAGCACGCTACACTAGACGAGTCCTCTGCACCGACCTTCGCCCCTGCTTGACACAGTCGCAGTCAACCGAGGTGGTGGCTCTGCGAACGATTGTCTCGGTGACGAAGACGACCCCCGATAGGATGCATGCACGGCTTGCACACGTCAGCGTCGACACGATCAAGAGCTCGGCGAAGCATGATGTTGCTACTGGGCTCGACCTCACGTCGTCAACCGGAGCAGACCCGCCGTGTGTCTCGTGCGTCGGAGGAAAGCTGGCGTGGCACACCTTCCCCGCCAAGGGCTCAGATGCAGCGGAGGCGCTGGCTGTCGTGCACATTGACTTGTGCGGGCCATTTCGGGTGGCTGCCAAGGATGGCAGCTTGTACTTCCTACTGCTGAAGTATCGCCATACTCGATTCGCGTGGGCAATGCCGGTCGCTAAGAAGAGCGACGTGCTGCGGGAGTTCGAGAAGTGGCTGGTGCTTGTGGAACGATAGACGAAGAAGTCGGTGCTGTCGCTTCGCTCCGATCGAGGAGGGGAATTCCTCGGGAAGGCGTTCACCGACTTCGTCGACGGGAAGGGCATCGTCCACGACCTGACGTGCCCCTACACTTCGCAGCAGAATGGCATGGCTGAGCGGGAGATGCGCACGGTCGTCGAGTCCGTCCGGACGATGCTTCTGCACATGGGCGTGCAGCATCACTGGTGGCACCTTGCTCTACGACAAGCGGTCTGGGTGCGCAAATGCTTGGAGCGGTCGACGACGCCGCCGGGAACGACTCCGTACCAGCTGCTGACCGGGCAGAGGGCCAACCTTACGCTAGCGCAGGTGTGGGGCTGCATGGTGCAGTTTATGGTTCCCGAGCATCAGCGCAGTAGGAAGCTGGCGCCGAAGGCTCGTTGGGGGCTTCACCTCGGTGTGTCGCCGGAGAACAAGGGCTGGGAGGTGCTCGACCTGACCGACAACAAGGTGGTCACGTCGGTCGAGGTGATCTTCTACGAGACGCTGTCGCTGGAGGTGTGGAAGGCGAAGTATGGGCCGGTGTCGGAGCGGACGCAGGCGCACCCGCCGACGGCCACCTCGACGGCAACGGTTCCACTGCTCGCCGACGTCGACGAGCCTGCTGATGAGGATGTTGTGGCGGTTCTTCCACCTCCCCCTATTCTTGCTCCTCCCTCTCCCGTCGCAGATCGACCTGCTTCGACACCTGTGTCGGCCACCGGCGATGAGGGGAGCCTTGAGGCGCCGCCTATGGCGCCTACCCATGACATCGCCGACGGTCGACAAGGCGCCAAGCTCGTCGACCTGGATGGGAAGCAGTCGAGGACAGGGGAGCAGCCAGGGGAGCCGGTCGAACAGGAGGCTATAGCAGCGGTGCAGCCGACAGGGGAGCAGCAGCCGGGGCGGTCGACAGGGGAGCTGTGTACGACGACGCCGAGGAGGATGACGACCTGCCGGAGCTTGACCCTGACGTGCATGCCGACCCCGAACACCGCTGGGACATCGCCATGCTGACGGTGAAGGAGGCGCTGTCGAGCTGGAAGGGCGAGGCGGTGAAGGCCGCCATGGAAGAAGAGATCCGCAGTCTCACCGGCATGGGGACTTGGGAGCTGGTCAAACGCCCACGCGGGGTGAACATCATGAAGAACCGGTGGGTGCAGACGACCAAGTACCGCATCGACGACACCGTCGAGCGCGAGAAGGCGAGGCTGGTCGTGAAGGGCATTACGCAGGTGTACGGTGCCGACTACGATGAGACGTACTCGCTGGTGAGCAGCTACGTCACGCTGAGAATCTTCCTCATCATCGTCGCCATTCTGGACCTCAACCTGATGCAGCTCGACATGAAGAACGCTTTCCTGCAGAGCAAGCTCGA